ATCTTTAAAGTGAATTTCTTTTTTAAACTGAGATTTTTTTCCCGTAGTTTGATGTCTTGCATATTATTCATATAAAATACCAGCTATATATGTGTCACTATGAAACCTTTGAATGTTAAATTTAAAATGTCCATTTCCTATAGTTATGCTGTTGCTGTTAATTTTTTAAATTAATTTTTATTTTTTGATAACCTTCCAACTGTTTAACCTTTATGATAAATTGAAATAACAATAAGCAAATTATCCTACAGAATCTAATTTAATAAATTTCCATCATATATAAAGGAGGGGGGGGGGGGAGAAACAGCTGGCACTTTTTTTTTTTGATGATGAAATCCCCAGACATTGTATTACACTAATTTGATAAGTCTTCTATATTTGTGTATTTCTATTTTTCGTTTTTGTTAATTTTTTCTTTTTTTTGGATAAAGAAAAACTGAATAAATTCACAGATCAAATGTTACAAAATTCTAAATATATTTTCTGAAATAATTATAAAGATGAATTCTGAAACCACATCACTTTAAAAAATTCAAATGCTGAAGCAATAATAATTGTAAATGGAAAGAAATCCTGAAATGAAAGACATGAATTTCATCATTAAATTAAAAAAAATGACACAGAACTATTACAGATATAGGATAATCTATGTACAATGTGCTGCCAATCAACATTCCAAACCCATCTATGTTAAACTGTCAATCACAGCTTATTACTTCACCAGTAGGTAATGAGTCTCGAGCATAGCATGCTCCGCCTGTTCCTGGCAAGGGGGAACAAGCTCACAGCGTAGTGAGTAATGAATTCAAGTGGAACCCATTACGTAAATGTACAGCACAATATGACACCGACTGGTTATATAACCTACACATTATCGGCCAGATAATCTTATCTAAGCTGTTTTTTACCACCCAAGTGCTACCCACGAGAGGTTATCATTGACACTGCATTAAGAGGTTATATATAAACATTTAGCTGTTCTAGAGGAGGACGGAATGCCGACATGCAGAGCATGGAGGTTATGGTTTATATCGAAAATTTTCACCCCCGGAAATTTTTACATGCAAAATCTTTAATAACAAAAGTATTGTGTAGTCTTAGTCAACACTAAGATTTCAGATGGCAGGCATGATGACCCCTTGTTATGTCACAATAGCAACATTTTCACAAAACACTGAGTCTCAAATCATTTTGTCTGGATGTATTGCCAATACAGTTCAATATCTATATCAAATTAACAGATCAACATATCAGATCTACAGATAACATGGGAATTTTGTCAAAGCAATCACTTCTAACACAGCTCCAACTGTAGTGCTATTTAAGGCTTATGATTAAATCGGTTCATCATGACACCGGATTTATGAAGATAGATTTTTTTAAAATGAATTTAGGCTACCTTATGTAACAGAAACCAGGAACTAATACTAAAAGTGTAATAATGTGAAAGCTTGCCTATTTTTTTTTCTTTTCTAATTTAGCATCAAGGTAACCTTCACAGATGTCAGATCACATGTTCCAGCCCCAGACTCCCATGGGACTGAGGACAATTTTTCAGTATCAGTCATGGTATCAGATAGACCTATGTCTAGATCATGCTTCCATTTAATCTCCGACATGCATTTAACCACAGCACCTCTCTGGTGACTTTCCTTAAAACTCAGCTTTACAGCTGCATGGCTACATTTGAAATCTATATAATGAAACATTTTCTTTTTCTTAATGTTAGAAAAAGAATATCAGCTGTGACTGATAAAGTAATCAGTTTTTGGTTGCCATTGAGAACTTAGTGTACACACCACTATTCTGAGAGATAGGAGGGTAACTGGTGCTGTTATAGAGAGGGGTCTATATTATACTTCAAATTAAGACATGTGCAGGTCAACAAATGCTGATGAACAATTAATAATGACCATGGATGAAGTTGAGAGCAGTATAGTTTTCACCACTAGTTTTTATCTAACTTAAAGGTAATTTTCTCTTCAAATAAATCATCAAGCGATAGATGATATAGAATTCCTATACTCTTTAAAGATCATCAGTGTTACAAGCAAATTAAGCCACAATCAAACTATCAAACCTTATGTCAGAAAGACAATATTTTCTCTTTAGTTAAGTCATATTCAAATGAAGCTCAGTCTTTGCCCCTACAACTTTGTTCTTACCTTAAAGAAAATAATCCCGATAGTGATTTAACAAGACTTATTACAAAAGATAAGTCACTCGATCCAATCTGTTAAAAGCTCTAGGTTTACATCTTGTTAAAGGACTATAAGCATGTCAATCTTTCTTCACTTCTCAATAATTTGTAGGAATTATATCATTAGATTTTATGAAGTTCTTAGTGCCGAGAGAGGTCTCTTTTTATACATATAAAGTGCGAGTCTTTCACCTGAATAAAGCTGCAGGAAAAGCTCTAATGACAGTAACTTCTTCATATAAAATACTTTTATTGTATTTTTTTCAGTACAGGAACAACAATAAAGCTCCTCCTTAATGCCCAGAGGTTTTTTAATATCAAGCAATCTTATTTCATTCACTAATCATGGAAAATTGGTAGAAATTCAGTTCAATGTGATTTTCAATAGGACATATCTGCAAGATTAATTTTAATTTTATAAATAACTTTTTCAAAAAAAAAAAAAATCCTTTTATTCTATTTTTTTAATTGATTTTCTTCTGAATATAAACTAGGATATTTATGAAATTCATTCAATATGCATCATTTTTTTCTTTTTCCTTAACTTTTCAATATACACCTCACGAATCCCTTGCATTCAAAGCCCTTTGGTCTGATTTAGTGAACAGAATGCAGAATTGACTTTTTTCTGTTCTGGTATATTTTTAAGAAAATCTATTTCAGTATTACTGTAATTTGCAGATTTCCTTTTGTTTTACAGAGGAAGAATAAGCCATAGGTCTCTATCATATAATCTCTGTATAACTTAATCCAAAGTTACAAATAAGGTATAATTGCTGGGAAATATACTGGTATATGCCTGTCTCATCATGCTGCTTTAATCATGCATGAAGCATACAGCTATAAAATCCTACAGATATTTTCTGGGTTTTTTTTTTTAAGTGTGCATTAAGGTGATGATAATGACAATTGAAATTAATTAAATGTTCTCAAAAAATAGCCAATAAAACAAGGTATTTAAGGACTGAATTAAAAAATAAATATATGTGATAAAAATTTGGAACATATGGCTTCTAGTGATGACCTTGAACATGAACTTTCTCTTGTATGTACAATTCATTCTTATAATTGATTCATTCTTGTGTTTTAAAGTTAGCATGATCAGCAAAAGAATTAATACATGTACTTCATATTCTGTTTTCTTACACAGTGGAAAATTTCTTTGATTTTATAAATTTTATAAGAATCATTTTCTTCTTGCCAATGCAGCACATGAAGACCATTATGTAACAATTATCTGCATACCAAAGTTCTTCCATATACAATGTGTCAAATTGTGCTCGAGTTGAGGGGAGTGCATGTCTTCTTCACCAAGTTGCATTGTTGCTTTTTTTCTGATAAAATATGTTAATTCTTCATTTTCTAACTACAAAATGTTAAACTGACTGACTAGTATATAACAGAGGTTTTATAATTATGTGTTTAAATATCTACTTTAAAACTGTTTTAGAGTTAAAAGCTTTCCAGCTTAAAATTTATTAGAACAGTATAGATCTACTTTAAGATCAGTTGAGCAATGATTATCAAAACCTTTTCCAAATTCAAATTTGAATGACTGATCAATCTAAACATAAATAAATAGCTACAATATATAAAATGAAACTCCATCTGAAGACTCACAAAAAATTTTGTAGCTCTATGGATCCTTTACTACTTTTTTTTCCAAACCCAAATATTTCCTTAAAAATACTATATCCTATATATATATATATTTTTTTTTTTTGGATTGGGAAAAAATATTGATGGTAATAAACTAAAGATTAGATTCAGGTTTTTTTTTCCCCACTTCACTTTTCCAAGAATGCAAAATCTGCAAAATGTAAATCTATTTCTATTTTATTCCTTTTTTGTTCTTGATTAATTGATCAACAGTTGAACAGTTCCACAATTTCAGACATCAGTCAATGTATATAATAGTAACCAGGGAAATCAGAGGATTTACAGACTCAATTTCTTTTAACATCCGTTAAATGTCAAAAATCTTATATTCATCCCACTTTATGCATGTACAAGGCATCAACTTTCTACTTCAGAGATTCCTAGTATCCTTCTTAGTTTGATTTAAAATTTCTTGAAATAGGAGTGTTTTTATAGAGCTGTGTGATAAAAGTATTGGAATTATTTAAATTTCAGATGAGCTGTTGTAAATTCTCCCACAGCTTCACCAGAAGTAAAATCTTCCTCTCTAAAGATGAAATCCAATAACCCTATCGGTCCATTACGTAACAAGCAGAATATTAAAAACAGAGCTCTTCTTCACAATAATGGTAATGGTAGAGCTGTTTTAACAAATTAATTGCTTCAACAAACCATAAGTATTATCTGCCTAAATACAGCCTTTCAATTGCATGGTCTTTCAGTCACCTGAACAACTTACACAGTAATAGTTTTTACACCTAACTAAAAGTTCCCAAAGAATGCAGTGTCAATGACAACAAAGCTTGAGTGCAGGAGAAAGTCAATTTCCACCCACCTTCTCCCTAATGACAAAGATTTAGGATGACATTTTATCCTCCTCTTATGATTTTTCAAGTTCTCACCCTTTGTTACCCTTCTTTGTCTCCCTTGTCTTGTGAGCTATTTACCTGATCACACGTTTTACAGTGGTATGACTTCCCCGCTTTGTTGGTTGGTTTTACCGGGTGGGGGATCACTAGAGGGGTATTGTTCGTTGGCGTTGATGGTCCACTCACACTTCCTGTGCTGCTACGGTAACTGCCCGAACTTCCAGTACTAATATGACGGAGGCCTGAAGCATGGTCATTGTGGCTATTCACAGGATGTTCAGGATTTAAACTTCCTAAAATACACAATTTAGAAAATATTGAAGACAACTTTTCAATTTTAATAGTTTTATACTATGTACTGAAATTTTATGTCTGTTCTTAAAAACCTTACACAAAAAGAAAGATCCTGTGTAATATAGGAGAGAGAGAGAGAAATAGAGAAAGGGGGGAGGAACAGACTTATAATACTCATTTCAGAAAAGAGTTTAGGGACTTTCCAACTGTATTGGAGTCGATATGTACAGATGGAGGATAAACAGACTTGGGAGAAATGTGATCTTTCCGAGCTTGAAAGAAATGTCAGCTGACATTAATTCAAGGAAGTATTGATTTTCATTCTCTTTAATTCAAAGAACTGCAATTAGAAGATTTTAATTTCTCCCACAAACTCTGTCATCGAGTAACTCTTAGCTCAGTAAATGAAAGCACAGATATCGTTAGAAAAAAAAAGAAGAAAAAATTAAAGTCGAGCAGCACCATACTTTTCAAGTTTTCTGTATCAATTTATTTAAATTAAAAGTTTCTTTGATGACTAAAAAAGTAATTAGAGGCATGTTGTCATCAAAACTTAATGAACATATTAATGGGAACATTATCAGTGAACAGAAGAATCTGCAAAACAACAAATTCCATCAATTTTCTCTGAGCAATAATAGAAAGTATTCTCAGTCCAATGTTAAGACAAATTTTGACACCCATTAAGGGGGATATTCTTATGGGATTGAAAATAACAGTTTCTATCAGCATACTTCCTAGTCTTCTTATGATGCCTTAGCCACACAATGAATTAAATATTTTTTTTTTTGTTCTTACTTTTAGTGAAATTGCAATGAAAAATAAATCTACATCAACTGTATACTATAAACATACTTATTTGATTTCGAAGAATCATAATTTATGTTCAATATGGAGGTAAAAAATTATGCAGATTTCTTGGACTGATTTTGTATGTCTTAAATGCAGTTTAAGTAGGGTAGGAAAATTTCTGCAGAAAATTATTGACCACATATATGGTGTTAATAAATCCCACATGAAAAGAAGTACATCTACAGTACCTAAGGCTCAGAATAATTTTATCGATGTCTGGTCAAGGCAGAATTTGAAACATTATACCCTGTAAGTGGAAATTTTAGCGAGATGCAAATTTAGCAATTTATCATTAAATAATGGTAATAAATTTTTAGCGAGAACCAATTTTAGCGATTTTAAAGTGCCTACTAAAGAAGCTATTACAAATAAAACGCAATTTATTTTTAGCGATGTTCAATTTTAGCGATCTCAACACCCTCGCTAATATTAAATGCCAAAATTAAATCCTAGCTAAAAATTCTGCTTATACGGTATGGTAAGTAATTTTCACTTTACATAAATTTTACCTTGTATTTAGAGATAAGTTATTTGGAGAAAAATTTTCTTTATTCATTTTTATATTTTTATACACACAATTTTGACAATTTATGTCAGCATCTAAAAACCTAAATAGGTACAGATAAAAAGAGGATTTGAATCAAAGAAACTTGGAGAAGTTATGTCATTGCAGTAGCTGGTCTCAAAGTAGAATATATAATCCATGTTCTAGAAGAATATATCAACCACCAGATGAAGACAGCAAATTCTAATATGTGTTCCCATATTACACAATAATGCAGATTAGCTTTTTACCTCCAAGTTAAATGATATATTTCTATTTTTGACACAAAATGCATTTTTTTCTGACTTTTCAAACAGACTGTATAGGTAACATGCTGGCTTAGTTTCACAACAAATTGTTTGATTATAAAACTGACAAGTTTATCAATGTGATTAGAATGTATAATCTCTGTAATTTCTATCATGACATATTAATGCTTTTCATTCGGGATTTTTGAAAACAGCTTTAAAAAAAATCAATCATACACTTTAAACATTTACTATCATAGTTTTAAAAGTTACTATCATATGAAGCTGACAGATGCTTAAAAAATTGTTACGAGGTGAAAATTCATAATTACGAAAAAAAAAAATCCCTCTAAAATTTATTACATTTAGCACTGTACCTAAAATATAATCATAAATAAGCTATTGATTTTTTTGTGTAATAGAATATTTTATCTGAAAATAGAGTTGGTTATCAATGTGAATTTTTTGGGGGTAAAATTGTTGGACAATGTGTGCCTTACAGAGAAGAGTATTTTTGGTCCAATGGCTCAAAAATATATTTTTTTTTCCAAATGAAGCAGGAAGAAACAGGAATCTGAGAAGACAGAACAATGGGCACTAAAGCAGCTGGTATAAAAAGGAAAAAAAAAAGTCAGCACCCAAAAGTAAAAATAGGCACAGAGTACAGGAATAGATGTGGCTTAAAAAAAAAGTAAATCATGTAATAATACATGATGTACTGTACATACTTGCTTTGCAAGTATAGTCTAAAAGACTCTTAATTTCATTTTTGTTATATTTACATTTTTATTTATTTTTGCTAAAGATACATCAAACACAAAGGGAATTGTTTAAGTTATGATAGATGGCCGAATCTTATGAAGACGTACGAGTTTTTGTAAATGTACAGAGTAATATTATGTAAATTTGATAACAGGTGCTCCATGTCGATAGAGTTCATGTAAAGTAGGCCAGAATGAGTTCTTCTATGCAGATGATGGGCAGTAATGCGAAGACAAATTAGGTTTTTCTAATAATTAGGCATTCTTTCCTGTAGTTAAAAAAAACTAATGCAAAATTAATCATTTTTTTAAAAAAAATCTATATCATTCCAATAGTATTTCTATATCCACCATGTAAACTTTTTGTTTTTCTTTAATTAAATACTGTATTTGGAACAACAAAAATGCAGTTGAATGCAAGATGAAAGAAATGAATTTAAATTCTCATATTGTGTGGTAAGAGTAAACCTCTCCCCCCATCTTCCCCCAGACAATCCTGTTTAAGAGAAGGACATTGTTTCCAGGACTAAACTCCTCCCAATCTCCTTCAGGAGTTTTCTTTTTAAACCCCTGTTTAGAACCAACACAGCATGGCATGTGTGCAAATTAAAGGTTACGGTCTTAACTTTTTCTTAAAACTGTGGTCACTAAGAATGAAAAATATTTTCAATAATACCAGTAAATATAACTACACGCCTGCCAGATAAATTTTCTCAAGTTGTATAAAATCTACTTAACAAATTAATATTTCTGCCTTTTTTTAAGCACACCTTTAAATTAATTGTCTATTTCATTTAGATTTTTTCTTCCAAATCAGAACTTTCAGTACCCCAAACATAATAATTAAGGTCATGAAAGGTCATGAAAACTCCTTCAACCCAGAAACTGTTCTCTAACTAACTGAAACCTAGAAAACATTGGTTCAAACATTACTTATCATGTTATGAAACTAACAATTGTCCTATAATACTCACTAAAAAAGAAATTCTTGGCAGGTAGTTCTTTGATGCAGATAAGTACTAAAGGGGTATTAAGTGATTCTTAAAATTGAGATCCCAAAATATTTCGAACACAATCATGGGGAATAAGCTATATTTGAAGGAAAAGACATTTTTTTTAATTAAAAGTTTTAAAATATTCTCAATTAATTGCCGATATATTAATTTTGTGCCATGGCAACATTCACATTTAAAGAAAGAAGAAGAAATTTAGTATGCATAAATTAATCGATAACGATGAAGGAAAATTCGACAGTTTTCGATTTAAAATATGAATTTATTTTATTTTCGTAAAATATTTCTTCTCGAAAAAAATCTGAAATTGAGAAATAACCAAGAAATCATAAGACGAAATAAATTGAAAGGTTGCGAAAACAATTATTTGTTGTAGGTTACCCAGATTTCTTTAATCCGACGAAGTCATGCATTAGATACCAAGGAATTATCCAGTGCGCATGTGTGGCATGTCTGCAAGTTCGCAAAGAAAAGTGTATTACGTACACTCTTTCAGGTTGTTCTGTACAAAAAATAATTAACAATTTTTACAGGAAACATCTTTAATTAAAGGGTTAACAATTGCTATACTTTATAATACATTGCATCTTAGCAGGTTTTCAAGCATGCATGCTGCCGCAATCCAAACCTTTAAATAGGAAAGACTGACCATATAAATATTTCACAGTTCCGAAGCGAGGCTCTTAGTGAATTTCTAATTTGACGCTTAAAAGAAAATTTCCTTCACAATTATCCTCCTAGAAATATTCAAAATTGAAAATCGAAATTGTTGTTAAACGATTTAGTCGATAATAAGCGAGAGGCGGTCACTTAAGAGTTACCAACTCCCTTATTTATATACAAATGCTGGGTAACGATGCGAAGCCGACATTACCGTTTTCATATTTTCTTCTTATCCAATATTACATAACAACCACAAATACATGCATCAAGTGCAGACTTTCTGCATAAAAATCAGACTAGGTCTTCCGTAACACCTTTTAATTAACGTGCTGCCTGCAAACTCACCATTGATATAGTAAAAAAAAGGTGGAACAGTCCCGAAATTGTTCATCCAGGGTCTGCGCTGCATGTTCCAACCACTTACTAAATCGCAGTTGATATACGCCACGACGCATGCGTACCTACTGCCATTTTTTTATTTTTCTTATGTCTTGTGTTACTAATATAGGGCTTAAAACTCAAGAACCATAACCTTCCCTGCCCATTTGTATTGTCTCTTCTCCAAGAATAACCTACCACACAGTGAAACTAACAACAATGTAAATGTGTGTAAAGTGAAAAAACATTTCAAGGTATAAACACATTTGTGATGCACATTATGTCACGGTCTGTGTGCATTGGTATGCACCTTCTTTTCCAGACCACTTCATTTCATCGAGTCCTGTGCAAATGAGTCGTGACTTGCATTTACACAATATGCTAATTATCAATCAATGTTCTTTTTTACTGCTTCAGGGAAAATTAATCAAAAGAGATGAATAAACATTTACATATCCTAAACATGCTTCATAAATTTATTTATTTTTGGAAATTATTGGCTTACATCCATGGTGAGTGGGAAGGCCAAGGACGCAGCGA